AGGTCATGTTGTTCTAAAGAGAGGTTAGTCCATGCTCTTGTTACCTTCTGTCACAGTGTCCTACAGTCAAGGGTAACTTGATCTAAAACAACTCTAAAACCATGAGCCTCCTTTGTTTTTTTTTTAACACTTCTTATCAACCTTCAGATATTTTATTATTATAGTAACAGAAAATGCACAGACAAATAAGAAACTAGTTTCAAGACTCAAATCATCATTGACAGAATTGAGAAGAAAGGGGCTGCAACCATGGTGGAGACTTTGAACATCTGAATCCAAGGATATCCTACCAGCTTCAAAAACAGACATAGCAGAGGCTGGGGAAGTACAGTCCCACAGCATGCCCTGCAAAGCCTTTTCCCAACATGCCTCATACAGACACTGAGGTGAACAAACTGTCTGGAGTAACAATCACCTTGGGGGGGGGGGTATAAAACTGGGGTCTTCTCCACAGGCTCAGCCTGCCAGGCTGGAACTTGGGACAGGTCTCTGTGCCTATGTCAGACAGCCTCCTTCCAGGTATATTTTTAAACCCTATCCAGTAAAGGAGGAACTTGACACAACCTCATCATAGTATGGGTAGTTATCCCAGAACCACATGAAAGTGCAGAAAGCCAATAAAATGAATAAAATGGAAAAGACAAGAAAATTAGTTGAAAAGGTCCAATTTTGTGTTTTATAAAACAAACAGAGAATCTCACTTGTCTCTATTCATTCAGTCGTCACACGTCTACAGCACTGGAAAGGGAAACTAGGAAAGCAGAAACTGCTCAAAAAGAAAATACTTCCTTGAAAGGAAGAACTCAACCCTCTGAACGGACAAACTGGGTCTACTTGGTTTACGGTGAAAGAGAAGCACAGAAAAGCTGTGCTGGCATCAACGTGCACTTTCCTTTCAGGAGATGAAATAGTTTTGCCGTAAAGATCTAGAGCAGCAGGTACTGGAACTGTGTGGAGTCCCCGGTTTTTACCAGGTAAGGATTTGGGGACATGGTAAGCAAAGTGTTTCCCTTTGTCATGAAGATCCTGGGGCATGGTCAAGTCACTGGGTGACTGGCTGAGAGCTGCTGCCGGATGCATACTTCCCTATCTTTGTGTCCTCATCCTTGCCTCCCCATCTCTTCTGCCTTTTAGTCCAGAGCTGCAATCTACAAGCCAGCCAGCCAAACACATCTCCACCACATAGTCAAGAGTCACACCCAGCCCTTCGCTAGATTTAGTTACTTTTATTCTTCTCTCATACAATACATTCTGACTGCAGCCTCCTCTTCCTCCACTCCTCCCCAACCTCCCCTCTCCCTCAGGTCCACTCCCGTTCTTTTCCCTTCAGAAAAGAGCAGACCTTCCAGCGATACCAACCAAACACAGCATAATAAGATGCAATAAGACGAAGCACAAACCCTCATATTTTAAGACCTTTATAAACCATCTCACCTGTCTGTTACTATATATGACCAAAAAGAACCCTGCCCTCCAGAGTAACAAAGCTGGCTTCTCGTTGCAATGTTCTGTCATGCCTGTGGTAAGATCATCTTAGTTTTACACACAAACTTCCTGGGGATACAGCAGTCTATCAACAAGAAAATACTTTCTGTGTGGTTCAAAATATTTTAAAATGAATTCTAAAAGAGACTTGTATGTTTTATTTCCACTTAAATGCCTGCAGGTTTCTGGATTCTAGTTGAGTAGAATTTTCCCTGGCTACCGTCAGTGGCAGCAGCTTTGTAAATAATTTGGTAAACTTTGCTTTTAATGTCTAGTGGCACTTTATCCATAGCCATCTACAGTGTACAAAGAGTAAAAAGACTGGCCCAGCAGAAAGATAAAAACTATGCCCCCTGGAAACTAGTAAACTGGCAATGTCAAAGGAGTAGTAAGTATACCTGGAGAAGTTGCTAGTTTGGGGTGTCTACCAAACTCTCCTTTCAAGGCATGAGAAGGCCCTTCGGTAGGTGGGATCCATCAGGAGTCTTAGGTATTCAGTAACACAATTGAACCCCTCAATAGTTATGGAAGCCATGGAGCATGCCCACAGGAGCTCCCAAAGGTAAGCCTCAAGCAGACAATGGCAGTATGAGTTCACTGCCCACGAGCCACAGCCTCCCAGGGAACACATGGTTGAACAACTGGGGATACGCCATGTCAGTTACATTAAGGTAGAAAGTAGATGCCTACTTTTCCTGTTCTCATCTTCTAGGAGATAAAACATCGATAAACATTTGCTTTTCTTCATCAGACAGACCTTGAGGCTAATAACTCTGACAAGGAGGGTAAGGACGTATACCAGGGAAGTGCCATAGTACAGAGAACCAGGGTTTGGGCAGTAAGAATTGAACACCAAGGGCAACGAGTAGAAGGCTTCCAAGAGTGGCTCTAGTGGGCATTTGTGCTCTCACCAGCACTCAGGACTTCATGACCCTGAGGACGACTTTTCTCTCCGAAACAGCATTCCTGAAATGAATGAATCCCCAGCCTCCATATGTGATAAGAACCAACAATCACTCTTCAAAGACGAGCAATTACAGAAATCTCACATTGAAGGCCTCCACCTCTGGTCGCTCAAAAGCATATTTTCTCCAGTTTCCATTTCTTGGGCGTGCGTGTGCGCGCGCACACACACACACACACACACAAACACACAGACACACACACCACCCACCCAACATAAACTCTTGGTAATTCTCCCCAAAAGTCTGATAGAGGCACAGGCAAGTCACATCTAGCATGCCCCCTGCTGGCCTGGCAGGAGTAGACTCAGCCTTTATTCTATAGGTCTAAATCATGGATGAATGACCTTAAAATCCAGATGGACAGACAAATGACAAGGTAAGGCAATTTGGGCTTCTTAGAAATGAAGAGCATAGTATTAAACCTAAACTCACTTCAAGTGTGTTTTCAAAAATGTTATAGGATATGAGACTAGTCCCTAAAAATCTAGACGAAATGGTTGCTGTTATATATTTATGAGTATAACAATGAATAAATAAAAAATGTGAATGTTTTGACAGGTCTACAGGTGGAAACAACAGATACAAGGGCCACCATGGTTTCACAGATTCCATTTTCACATCCCAGAGCGCTAAAACCGCTCACCACCAAAGGCACTTTAAATACAGAAGAATCTTGGCGCTACACACAAGCACAGGGCAACCTGTGTCAGAAAAACCACAGAAAAGCACTGCGTGTGTCCAATTTCACTACAGAGCTTGTTCACCCAGCATTCCAATGTGAGTAGGTTTATAGTTATCAAGAGGTCAGAGATCATGATGTGCACACTGCTCATTCACTGGTAGCTGTCCCCTCTCCTCCTCCAGCAAGGTAGGGGACCTCAGAATTTCCTTCTCAAGCGACACCTGCTACCTAGAATCTAGGCATAAGTGAGATTTAGGACCTATCCAGACTTCAGGAAACAATGGTTCACGTTCACTATCACCCTGAACACTAAGGGCCCACAGTAACCACTACTTTCAAGATTCAAAAGCTTCACATTTGTAGCCAGATTCAAACCTCCCTGTGGCATGTGACATGAAATTCCTTGCAAACCCAATATGATCACACTAATAATTTAAGGCATCCTTATGTTGGTCAATTAGGAGGTGTCATTAATTATTAAATACAAAACCATCAATACTTTTGTCTCTTATTAGATCTGCTTTTGATACAATAGGCTTAAGTAGATGTTCAGACTGTCTTGGGAACTAGCTTGTCTGTTCCCATAAGAGCAGATACTAATGGCCTACTCAGATAATCAAATGACGGCTTGCTGCTGGCAATCTTAGAGGAATTTCCCCCCAGAACTTGGTGTGCTCTGAAGATCTCTAGTTTTTACATTCCCTGAATGCTTTGGAGAGGTCGTGGGGTCTTGGAGGACACACAACTGCTGGAAGAGCCCTAGGAAAACCAGCACCCTTTGCGGTGTGTGTGGTGGGGGCAGACTCTCTCAGGCACACCCTAGAAGGGGGATGTTGGTGAAGGAGGAGCTTTGCAGATTCACCTGAAGCAATCAAGGCCTGCAGAGATCTAAGCTCCATTGTCTATCTTTGCTTGGACACCACATTAAATAGATCATTTTTTTTTAAGTGTTTCTCTTGCAGGTCACTTTCGTTTATAGAGATAAGGCAAGGTACAAGCGCGCACTGCTATCTGTGTGCTATCAGCTGACTTCCATACCTGTAGGGACACATGTCCTTTCAGTCACTCTTAAATGTCACTCTAATTTTCAAGCCAACAGAATTAAAAACTGCACTTATATGAGTTTGGGGGTTTTGAGCGCAGAGAGGCGAATTCATTCGATGGCTAAGATTCTCAAAGAGCTGCAGTAGCTGCACCGGTCGGGAGGAGGGTACACTTGAGCGGTTATGTCCAATGAAGGAAAGTTTTCGTTAATATGATGACATCACTGACATCTCCCAAATTTAAAGGAGCACTTAAAGCACAGCGGATACAATTTTTCCCCTCCAGTGAGGAGATACTAGGGAAGGCCTCTGGGTTCAGAGCTAAATTGCATCAATCTTTTCGCGGCTGTCCAGCCAGATCCAGAGAAACCACCAGTGAGAGGTGCGCGGGGCCACGGTGACCCACGCAGTCACAGCCCGGTGCAAGCCAGCGGCCTCGCGTGCCGCTCTGGACCGGTCCTGCCCTTTGGACCCCCGACGCGCCCCCACGGACGGAGGGCCCAGTCCCCGCGCGCCTGCCATCACGTTCCAGTGCGGAACCGCGAAAAGGGCCAGGAGGCAGTTCCCGAGCCAACGGGAGCGCCGAGCCCCGCCCGCACCGGGCTAAAGCCGGAGCCGGTGGCCGTGGCGCCCACGGGATCCCAAGCGGATCCCGCAATGCAGACGCGCAGCGAGCCCTGCGCCCCCCGGCGCCCTGCGGCTCCGGCCCGCGCCCACTCGCCTCGCGGCCGAGAGCAGGGCGACCCCGCGCCGCTCGCCCCAGCGCACCTGCCCCGGGCGCCCGGCCCGCCGCCCTCAGGCAGCACCGTGGCCAGCGCCGCTCACCTGCCGCGCCGCCTGCCGCTTCGCCCGCAGCGCCGCCGTCGCTGCTAGCCGACTTCCATCTTCCCTGGCGTTGGGAGAACCAGATCAGCTGTTCCGCTCGCTCGCTAGCTCGCGCCAAGCCGCGGCCCCCTCCCCAGCTGCCGCGAGGCTCCCGGGCCTCTCCTCCCCCGCCTTCCTGGCTGCGCCACGCTCCGCCCCCCGCGCCCCTCCGCTCCGCCCGCGGTCGCGCGCAGCGCCCGCCTCCCGGCTCCGCCCGCGGCCCCGCGGCGCGCGCCCCACCTGACGTCACCGCCTCCACCTCGCTCCGACCCCCGCCGAGGTGGTGCGGGCGCGGGAGCGCGCGTGCTCGTGGCCACCCTTGGCGGCTGTCGCACCTAGCCCTTTGAGGACGTGCTAGGACCCATTGGGTCTCCGCGCACGCGCTCCCAGGCTCGCCCCTGGACTACATCGAAAGGGCCACTTGCTCACCCTGCCTCTCTTGGTCTGCGTTCACCTCTGGTTTCTTCCTCTGGGCTGCTTCGCTTTTCCTAAGCACCCTAAACTTTAGCTGGTCCGTTCTGTCTCAGCTCCGCTTCCCACGCCCCTTTGGCCTTCCCCTGTTTCTTTTCCCCGGAATAATGTTTACATGACTGTTTAAGACGTTTTCCCTGCCCTGATACCAATGGCGCCTCTGCTCTCTGCCTTCTCATGTAACCGTCGTGGTGTAGCTTTTGCTTGTCAGGTTCGGAGCTGGACATTTCCACATTCTAGGTCCCTAGTTCAAGAAATTGAAATAAAGGTGTACAGGGATTTGCGAAGTAACAACAAAACGAAATGCAAAGCCAAAAACAGATCAGAAATATACACAGTCGAAATATATACAGTGGGCCACATCAGTGAGCCCACTCAAAGGCTCGAGATAATTTGGAGGGTTCGTTCTATGGGCTTCCAGAGGAGGAGGTATTTGGTTGCTAAAGCATATAGCGACAGTGGTTCTCTGTTTTGATTGACAGAGCAGGTTATGTAAGCCATTTGTCACTGTGCAAGTCCTTTTCTATGATGTTTGATTTTAATCATATGCATAGTCATACGATGGTTAAGTAGTGTATTCTTCGTAAAAGTTTACTCAGATCATACTCCTTATTGTGCATGCGCACAAAAACTAGTTCAGGCAGAATCAGGACCCCGTTCTTGTACCCTCATATAACGAAAATTAGTGAAGAGCAACTGTCAGTGTCTAAAGGTCTCTACCAACATTGTTTACAGTGGGATGAGGATACAGCTCCATGCAGATGGGCATTCTACCTAACAGGTTGCTAGTGCATTGTTAGGAGAAGGATGTGTATAGCCAAATGAAGTTTCAAATTGCTAATCTATGCACGATGCATATAGTCCCCAACTTTGCTGAGAGACTTTTCTCCCAGGGGAGTTGAAGATCAGTCTTCGAACTGCTTTGTGCTGTGTAAGAGTCTAAAGCCGAACAGGGCAAAAATCCAATTTCCTATTCTGTCCCTAAGGCTGTTATAGCTCCTGGGTCTCCATTAGTGAATTCCCAGAAAATTTCTCAGACTGCTAGTCCAGAGACAAACAGACGACTCCCTTCGTTTGGTCTCTTCTGGTGGCAGCTTTTGATGGAGCACCATTCGCAATTGAGGTTGTTGGGTTGTAAAGACATAAACTGTAGAATTATCAAGACGAGGAAAGCCAAGAATGAACAGAACACTCAGGAAGAGGATGGGCATCTTTACAGGAAAGGGTACTGACAGTGCCCAGGACTTTGAACTTGAAAAGCTATACTGTCCAGGGTTCCAACTCAGGCTTCTTTCTGGAAGATATTTTTTTGTATATTGTGTTGGATTTTTCCAGACTTGTCTTGACATACACATGTTATTTAATTCTTGGAACTTCAGCTCAAAGTGTCCCTTCCTGGCTCTGGTAGTTTGCATGGGAAATGTCCTGTATAGGTTCATAGATTCGACACTTGGTCACAGGTTTGCAGTGCTGCTCAGAGGTGGATGGAAACCCTAAGGAGGCCAAGTGATGCCTTGTGGAGGAAGCATGTCACTGAGGGCAGACTTGGAGGATTTATAGCTGCAACCTTCTTCTTCTTTTGTCCTTCTCCTCCTCTCTTCCTCTCCTTCCCTTTTCCTCCCTTCTTCCCCTCCTTCCCGCTCTCCCTCTGACATGGCAATGAAACTGTGAGTAGCCGGCTTCCTCCTTCTGCTGCTTTGCCTAGCCTAGCTTATTGCCACGTTTTCCCCATGATGGATTCTATCATATATACGGTTCCGTCAGGAACCATATGCTAAAAGAAAACCCTTTCTTCCTTAAAGTTGCTTTAGGTCATGGTATTTTTACCACAGCAAGAGGAAAGTAACTAATAAATTGACCAAGCATCACATTTTACTCTTGAAGAGGCTAGTTATTGTGGAGCAAGGGAAGCACATTCCTAGGTTCCGCTGAATAGGTGGAAAGGGCATCTTCAGGAAGGACAAACAGTTGACAAAGCCATTAAGGAATAAATCCCTGGATCATACCAAATCTACGTGCCTTCATGAGCAGGGTCTGTTTTTCCTTTATTTTATCTTCTATATCTAATAATCATTTTGTGCAGCACATAGTTAAAATATTATATCTAAAGTTAAAATAAGAAAGGAACAGATGAAGGCATATGAACTAACTCAAAGACCTCTGCTAAAATCAATACTGCTTAGTCATATTTATTTACTTTTCCTTTCCGTGGGAGCTTACTGTGGAAATACCCTTTAACTAATTCTGAATTTTAGCTATCATATTTAAAACCCCTTATAATATAAAATGGTTCATAAAGTTTTATTTAATTTTGTATAGAATGCCAGAAATTATGAGACAGTAATGAGCATTGCAAAAAAAAAAAAAGTAACAGATCTCTGATTTAAGGAATTAATGGAATATCTTTAAAGAAACTGGTAGGTTTAGTCAATTTTGAGAGCTGTTGTAATTGGTCCATTGAATCACCAATCAAATTGAAGATCTTTTGGAGAGTTGAACCATGATCTAATATGCAAAATTTTACAACTATGTTAAAATCTTTGTAATTTAGTTGGGAGCAATTCTTTATGCAGAGTCCCTTCTACTGCTAATATGGGCACTATCTGAGAACCAAAAGCTTTGCCCCAAAAGAAAAACATACAAAATTAGCATTTGTATAAGATCTAGTCACCAAACTTCCATGGGTTCCAAGAAAGGATAAAGCATAACTTCCTTATTCTGTGAGTCAGTATTGGCTAATGTTTCTAAGTCGACCAATATTTAAGAAAACTTTATTTTTTGTAAACAAAGAATTGAGAATCACTTTTACCTCAGAGTGTTGAACTTTGAACCTAAGGATTTTAAACAATTTTTAACTATAGTTAAATTAATTGAGTACGGGGAGAAAAGAATCCCTAGTGGATATGTAAAGAGCGGACGAAGTTCTAAGTGGAATGTGTGTTGTTTAACATGGCACAGCCACATCAAAGACCCCAAAATATCAGACTCATGGGACTTGGCAAAGCCTTCCTTCATTCTCCCACAGTAACTCTCAGAAAAATGACAAAGCCTTCCTGTGGGTCAAATAAGAATATTGGCAGTGTTTGCAAAAACTAGCAATGGCAACTTCTTCCTTGGGGACATCTACAACCTGAGACTTCTTGCCTACCAAGATATCCTGATGAGACTAGCTAACCCCTCCTCCTCTGCTGTACATGAAAAACACAGAGTGGAAAAATCCCACCCACCCAGGCTTTTCTGTATATACATCTGTCCTTTCCTCACTCCCTCACTGTTCTGATTCACAAGGACACTTCCAGCTCACTTCCCATTTGATTTTCCTATATCTAGTAACAAAGGTGTGTGGTGTTTCCACCAGCAGGGTCTTATCAACTTAAACTGATGGCAATTTTGGATGTCTTCTAGGGTTTCTGTAACCAATAACAAATAAGGAAATATCTTACATCTGGCTCTGAGATTCTTTTTTTTTTTTTTTTTAAATAACAACTGGGTTTTAAGAATCACATTGTCAGGCTGGGCTGTGGTGATGCACACCTTTAATGTCAACACTTGGGAGGCAGAGGCAGGTGGATCTCTGTGAACTGGAGATCAGCCTGGTTTACAAGAGCTAGCTCCATGACAGCTTCTAAAGCTACAGAGAAACCCTGTCTCAAAAAACTAATGAGGCTTTGTTGAAATACGGAGCGGCGGGCTGTGTCCCGCCACCCAGCTAGCTTTACCCGAAATAATTACACGGAAACTGTATTCTTTTAAACACTGCCTGACCCATTAGTTTCAGTTTCTTATTGGCTAGCTTTTACATATTGATCTAACCCATTTCTATTAATCTGTGTAGCCCATGAGCTGGCTTACCAGGAATGATCTTAACCTGCGTCTGTCTGGAGTGGGAGAATCATGGCGACTCCCTGACTCAGCTTCTTTCTCCCAGCATTCCGTTCTGTTTACTCTGCCTACCTAAGGGTTGGCCTATCAAATGGGTCTAGGCAGTTTCTTTATTAATAAGAAATCACTCCCACATCAAGGCTTTGAGGATACCTCCTTATAATTATGTTTGTTTGCTTACATAAACATTTAACTGGATTACTGAGGTAGTTTGAATGAGTAAACCGCACCCCAACCCCCAAGGTCATGTGTTTGAATAATTGGTTCCCAGTTGGTGGAATTCTTTGGGAAGGATTAAGAGCTATGGTCCTTTTGGAGGTATGTCACTGGGAATGGGCTCTGAAGTTTCAAAATGCCCATACCATTTCCAGGGTGAGTCAGTTTCTCTGTGTGTCTCTCTGTCCCTCTCTCTCTCTCCTTTTGGATACAGATATGAGCTCTTAGCTACTCCTTCAGCATCATGCCTGCCCAACTGCTGTTATGCTCCCCTCTATGATGATCATAGACTTACCTTATGAAACTAGCCCTAACAATCTCTGTCTTCACTACATTTCCTTCATAACAATAGAAAAATAATCAAGACAATTATAAAGTAGTAGGCCTTCCCATAGGCATTTTTCAAAGGATCTTCCTTTTTATTAATACCATTTTCCTACTCCATTCTGCTTAAACTTCCACTCCCCAGCATGCCCTCCCTCTACTTTCATATCATTTTATGTTTCATGATCCCACTCACTTACGGCATTCCCCCTTCCAGTGACACTTTTCTAGTTTCCTGACTAAGACTGGTTATGAAA